AGATGTAACGTGGGAGTGTCGAGATACTCCCATCACTACCCGCGCGGCCGCATTCTGCACCAGATAAAGCCTTCGAGTGGTCTTCAAGGGCAGCCCCATGTAGAGAGCATTGCAGTAGTCAATACGGGAGGTGGCAAGCACATGAGTGACTGTGCGTAGGGCATCACGGTCCAAGTAGGGGCGCAACTGGCGCACCAGGTGAACCTGGGCAAGTGTTGTACCTTATGATTCTTGATGAATGTATCTATTATTTTATGTACACTGAGAGCGTATGCACCTCAGACAAATTCCTTGTGTGTCCAATCACACTTGGCCAATAAAGAATTCTATTCCAGAATTCTATTCTACCAGGATCATCGGCGTCTTCACTTCCACTCAGATTTTGATAACGAGTAGCACAGATCTTTTTATCTGTTTAGAACAAACCCTATCACTCTATGCACACTTAACTGGAGTGGGTGAGGTGGGGGATGATTTTCATGGGGGCAGAAGAGGGACTTGGCACCGAAGGCTTCGCTCCCATCTTCCTACCTATAGCCATAGGCATTGAAAGCCTGGCTTTCTCGCAGCAAGGCCCGATAGAGACGCAGTGCTTCAGTCCTCCTGGACGCTCCCGGCAAGCCCCCTGCACCTCTGCTGCCTCGGTCGGAGCCTGATTCCTGAAGCAGCCATGGGAAGCGTGGAAGTCGGGACTCGGTTGGCGAAGCGGGCACTGAGCAGGAGGGGTAAGGCAAGGCGGTTAGCCACTCTGCCTGCCCCTTCTCCAGACGACCCAGGTGGAGGGCGGTCGGTTTCTGCTCCTGGCCCAGGAGGAAAGAGAAGGCGAGTCTGCGAAGAAGGAGGAGGAGGAGGGCATGCAGTTCTGTGATGTGCATCGGGGAACCAGGAAGGAAAGCATTTTCAGATGGCAGCGCCAGCCGCATGTCCCGTTTTTGGATTCGGGGAGGGGATCGCAGCGCTGCTGCCCGAAAACGCTTTCCTCCCCGATTCCAAAAACAGGGTGTGAGGAGGCCAAAAAAGTGCAGTGTTTCAGGTGGTGGCTGGTTCCAGCAGGCGTTGCTGCCTGAAAACGCTTTCCCCCCTGGTTCCCTGATGCACATTGCAGAGCCGCGTGCCTTCCTTCTCCTTCTCCGCAGACTCATCACCTCTTTCCTCCTGGCCAGATCCGCTGCCTGAAACACAATGCACCTTTTGGCCTCCGCATGCCCCGTTTTTGGATTTGGGGATCGCAGCACTACCATCCAAAAATGCTTTCCTCCCCTAGAAGGGCACTGTCCTCAGCCGGCCAGTCCCTCCCCGCCACTTGGTTTGGGGGTGACGGTGGCCAGCAGGCGGGTGGAGCGGCTGCGCAGCTCACTCGAGTTGCAAACAACCTGCAGATTTGGGTGGCCTTCACATGGCGGGATGCCTGCAGGATCCCTGGCTTCTGAGGCTGGCGAGGCCCAGCGCTTGGGCTCTGGTGTGATCTCCTCCTCCCGGGTGGCGGGGCACCTGGACTCCTGTGATGGAGGGAGGAGTCCAGGCTGGAGCTACTAAATAGGCAGTCAAGTTAAGTGCCTGAAGGACCCTATCCTGTCACTGGGAGTCCAGAGGCTTCAGCAAGCGGCGTGTGAAACTTCAGCCGGGCTCCTCGAGAGGACCGTAGTTTGAGGACCTAATTTAGCACAATTTAAAAAATGCAAATAATTTTTCTGCGGATCATCAAAATTTTCTCGCGGATCACTGGTTGGTAACCACTGCTATAGGCCACCCAATCAAGCAGAAAAAATAGAAGTCCTTTTTGCCAACCAACTAACAAATATATGTAGGAAACACACTACAATAGTAATGGGGGACTTCAATTACTTCAGTTTTCAATTGGAAAACTAATTCTGCACCAAGTGAGAAATCAAACCGGTTCCTAACCAGCTAACCTAGCTGACAATTTTGTTGTCCAAAAGGTAGAGGAGGGAACTGGAGGGACAGCCCAGTGATTGGATTCAGCCAGTTCGCTCCAGTCTGGCCAAACTAGTTGTTAACTTGTTCTGCAGTTTGGCGAACCGGCTGATTCCACCACTGGCTAGCCCTGCCCTTTGCCCCTCCCCTCCCAGTCACTCCTCCCCTGGCCTGAGAAGGTAAGGGCAACAGTGGGGCAGGGAGACTTCTTCCGGGTGGGGCTGGAAATCTCCACCGTAGAGGGCGATACAAGAAGTAGTGCAAGGAGTAACGCAGCCCTTGCCGGTCAGAGTGAGGTAATGGCGCTATTGCGGCAAGGTGGGGCGCAGCAGGAGGCCACAGCGGTGGTGGCGATAACCGAAGCCTTATTGCGGGAGCGAAGTGCCCCCGTACTTGCCTTTGTGCCGCAACAGCATTCTGCCTTTGTCGTGGTACGTCTGCGCTCAAGACAGCCCTCACGTCCCACTTCGGTCTCAGAGCTGTAAGCTGGGACGGAGAGAAGCAGCCGGGTCTGATTCTCTGGCGCCTCTTCTCTTGCTGGATCTGGCTGCCTGACAGTCAGCAGTTTTAAAAAAGATTTTTGCAGCAGGAAATGGCGGCCAGTTAATTCTGGCCTTTGTTGATGCAGCTAGGCATGCCTCTGTCGCCTCGTGGCCTGGCCCGGTATGTGCCACCGCATGGCCTGCGTGCTGACCCGACCCTTGCCACCGCATGGCCTGTCCGCTGGCCACTGTTGCTGGCTCATGGCTAAAGTGGCTCCCCACTGCTTGCGCAGTGCATTGCAATTTAGTGTGTGACCCTACCCCACTCGCCCCCAGCAACAGCAGTGGCGGACAGGTTGGGCCACCCGCAGGCCATGAGGCGGTGGCAGCGGCAGCACGGGTCGGGCCAGCGGGGAGGTCAGGCCAGCGGGTGGGTCGTACGGCAGCGGTGGTGGCGGCACAGATTGGGACAGATTGGGCAGGCCATGAGGCGGCCAAGGCACACCCAGCTGCACCAACGAAGGCCGGATGTTTGACGTGACTGTCATTTGAAGGTGGCCAACAATATTTTATATCGGTAATGAAAATCAATTAGCCTAGCCACCTACGGCTTCCTGCTGCAAAAATCGTTTTTAAAAACCTGTCGGTCAGGGAGACCCAGCAAGGGATGAGAATCAGGCCCAGCCTCTTCTCTCCGCTGCAGTGCTGGAGTTCTGGACGTGGCTCACAGCTCCGAGCCAGAACTGGTGGGAGGCGAGGGCTGCCTTGAGCACAGATGTCCCGGGGCGAAGGGGGAATGCTGTTGCTGCTCAAAGGCAACTACAGGGGCGCTTCGCTCCCGCACTACCACGGCCACCACTGCTTCGGCCACCTGCACCACCACACCTTGCTGTGAGTGACTTCGAGTTGGCCACGCCTATTCAGTCACATGACCTGCCCCCAGCCACGCCTACCTAGCCGGTCATTAGGGAGAACTGGTTGTTCAATTACCCTATTTTTGGGAGTATAAGAGGAACCTTTTTCCCCTAAAAAGAGGGTGAAAATCTGGGTCCGACTTATACTCTGAATGTTGCCCCGCCCAGCCTCGCAAACAGAGATTTCAGAGGCTCTGAAAGAAGCTTCAGAAAAAGAAGTTTCCTTTTGTTAGGTATAATTACAGATTGTACGGTCATAGAGACTAAATTGATTTTAAATTTAATAACAGCAGCCAGACTTTTGGTGGCGCAGTATTGGAAGAAGGAAGACTTACCTACTATTGAAGAATGGACATTAAAAGTAGTGAATTTAGCAGAGATGGCAAACATTTTGGCATACTTGAAGGACCATTCAAATGAAAGATATATATCGGAATGGAGAAGATGGATTGACTATATTCGAAACAAATATCGGACTAAAAAGTTTCAAACAGCTTATGAATGAAACCAACATTTTCTTTTTGAATTATGTTTTGTTGGTTGAAAGGGGAGTTAAAGAGCAAGAGGGAGTTTGGAGCCTACAGAAAGTTAGCATATTTTAGTTTATGATTGTTAAATGTTACACCCTGTATTTGCCCTGGGAAGTCCAGAGTGGGTGGGTTGGGGGAGGGGGGATGAGGGATGGGGGGTGGGGGGAGGAGGGATGGGGTAAAAATTGTTGTAATATTTGATAAAACTTTTTAATAAAAAAAAAAGCCTCTGAAAGGCTTTTATCTAAAATAATATGGTTAGCAACAAAAGAAGAATCAGTATAGGTTCTAACCAAACTGTTAACAAACCTGGAGAATGACACAATAACCAACAGATCACAAGAGGTTAATCTATAGACCAAAGAAAGGAGATTGAACAGTACAGCCCGAGCTGCCGCTGCAGCAGCCACCCCATCCTCTAAGCCCCCCCCACTTGGTGGAGCCTCCACTTTTAGGAGCAGTCCACCACCAAGGGGGCCCTGCTGCTGAGGCCTCAGCCAGAGGGGGGAACCGGCGGTCCTGCCACACGAGGACCCCGCGTGGACTCCCCAAGCAGAGGCGGCGAGAGAAGGCTTGAGCAGCGTCTCTCCCGGCAGAGCGGAGTCGGCGGCAGCGGCCCCGGGGGCCTTTCGGGGGGGGGGGCTCGAGTAGGAAGCGCTTCCCGAGGCAGCCTCTCAAGGACGGCGGGGGGGGCGTCCTCTCTGCCGCCCACCCGTGCCCAGCGGAGGCGAGACCGGCGGCGGCCGCTGTCCGGTGCTGAAATCCCGGCCGGCTCCTGTGCGGGAGCCGCTGAACCCCTCAATGTCGGGCCCCCCTGCAGGGGATCCCCGTGGGCCCCGAGCTGGCCGCGCCTGAGACCAGGGGATCCCGGTCGATCCCTCCTTTCCCGCCACTGGGGGGATCCCAGGCAGCCCCCGGGGAAGAAGGGGGCCCGGGCGGCCCTCGGGAGGCTCGTCCCCTCCTCGCCCGGCACTGGGCCTGCCGCCGCCCTCGGGAGAAGCGCCCTTCGCCCCACGGGGACCTTGGCCGCCATCGCCACTCTGTGGGCCGCCCTGGGAGCGGGGTGGGCCGAGCAAGGGCTTCTGCTCTCCCGGAGCCCCGAGCGTGCCGTGGAAAGGCCCGCCAGAGCCCCGGGGACCCCGCGGAGGGGAGCAGCGGGGCCGCCCATCGCGGGGCGGGGCGGGGCGGGACTGGCGCCTCCCGCCCCGCCTCCGAGCCGAGAAACGAAAGTGAGCTCCTCGGGCGCCCCACTCGCGGTTTCTGCGCAGCTGCCTTCCGCGCCCTCCGTCCAGGCGCCGGTGGGGAGGGGGCTGCTCCCCGCCCTTGGCCCGAGAGACCGGCGGCCCTCCGGAGGGTGCAGGTGAGGCCGCTTTCTCTCCCGCCCAAGAAGGGGCCCCAGACTCCCACGGAAGGGCCCGGGTGGTCAGGGGCCCCTCCAAGCGGGGGGACGGGGGGGTCCCTGGGGTGGAAGCCTGGCTTATTCACCAGGCCAGGAGCCTCCGGGACCCCTGGGCTGCCCGGGCTGAGCTTGAGGGCACCGGGGAGCGGAGGGATGCCCAAAGAGGCCGCCCCAGCCACTGGGCTACCTCCCCCGTTGGCAAGAAGCCCCCTTGCTTGGCCAGGCCTAGCTCTTCTCTGCCCCACTTCCCCCAGGGCAGGAAAGTCGTGGGGGTGGGGGTGGGGGCTGGCCTCTGGACTTTAATGGGGGGAGGGCTTCAGGGCAGCTTCCCTGCAGGGGGGAGAGGGGCTGAGAAATGCCCCCCCAAGAGCCCCCAGGCTGCCTGCGGAGAAGGAGCCAATGCGCAGCCTTCCCTTCCAGGCCCAGAAAAGGGAACCAAGGAGCCCCATGGAGACCTCAGGGAAGCAGACGGCCTTGGGGCAGCTGGGCCAGGAGGCCACCTGTCCACTCTGCCTGGACCTCTTCGAGCAGCCGATGGGCCTGTCCTGCGGGCACAACTTCTGCCGCGACTGCCTGGCCCAGCTGGGCGCTGAGTTTTCTTGCCCCCAGTGCAGAGCCAAGGTGGGGCGTGACAGCGCCTGCCCCAACCAACCCCTGGCCAACATCGTCTGCCACCTGAAGAGGCTGTGGCTGTCTGGGGGAGCCCAGGAGGAGGGCAGCCGCCGCCAGCTGTGCCAGGAACACGGGCAGCCCCTGCAGACCTTCTGCTCCAGTGAGAAGAGCCTCCTCTGCCCCGGCTGCCTGGAGGGGCACCAGGACCACCCCCTCCTCTCTCTGCCCGAGGCTGCCCAGGAGTACAAGGTAGGGGGCGGGCAACCGCAACTGCATGGGGCACTCCATCAGCTCTTGGGAAGGGGGGGGCGCAGGTAGAGGGGGTCACCCGAAGTCCCCAGAAAGATGGGAAGATGATCCTGGCGGCAGTGAGAGGCCCACAAAGGCTACCAGTTGAAAAAAATGGCGGAGGGGGGCCAGGTGCTTTTTCGGCAGCGAGAGAGGAGATGGGGGGGCAGAGAGTCTCGTAGGCCCCTGCCTGCCCCTGGGGCCCCCCAGCAGGGCCTCTCCTTGAGTGGGGCACGGGGGTCCCTGGGTGGGAGCGCTGCCAGTGTGGACCCGGGAATGGCCCCCTCTCTTCCGCACTCAGGACCTGCTGGATGGCCTCCTGGAGCCCCTGAGGAAGGAGGGGCAGAAGCTGCTGGAGCAGAGGCAGGCAGAAGAGCAGAGCCGGCAGGAATGCCAGGTGGGTCTTTTGGGGAGGGGGCAGGAGGCAGCTGGGAAATCTCCCCCCTCCCTCTGAGTCTCCCCTTCTCTGCCCCCCCAGGAGCAATTTGCCTCTGAGAAGCAGAAGGTGGGCCTGGCGCTGGAGTCCCTGCAGGAGCTGCTCCGGGGGGGGCAGTCGGTGTGGCTGGCCTGGCTGGCCGAGCAGGAGGAGAAGATGGAGGCCGAGTGGGGGGTCGCCCTGGCCCAGCTCTCCGGGGAGGCCTCCCGCCTGCAGCAGCTGATGGCCCAGACGGAGCGGAAGTGCCGGCAGCCGGACGGGGAGTTCCTGCAGGTGGGGAGGGGCTCTGGCTGGCCTCAAGGTGGGGGGGGAGCAGAGGTTTCCCTTGCAAGGGCCGGGACCCACTTCTCTCTTCTCCTCTTTCAGGACATCCAGGACACTGTAGACAGGTAGGCGCCCTCTTCCCCCCCCCCCGGTCTTCGTGGGTCGCTTTGTGCTCGGAATTTCTGGATCCTTTAGGATGTTGTTGCCGAGAGATGCTGGTGGTGGGACCTTTGGTCTTCTCTGAGCTCGGCCGGTTTCCTGCAGACCTTTCAATACCTGACTTAAGTAACATCACCAGTGCTGGGGGGGAGGGGGGCTTGCTCTCTCTTGATATGCGAGGAGGTCGCTCTCAATTGGGGTGCCGTGGATGGCTTGGTTGGTGGTCAGGCCTTGCAAACAACACAGCTGAGGATCCACCAGCGCAGACAGACAGACGACCCAACAGCAAACAGCAGCCTCACCAGGGAGCCACCAAGAAGGCGACAAGAGCAGGCCAGTCGTACAGGCACTCCTCGACTTACGACCACAGCTGAATCCAAAATTTCTGTTACTGAGACAGTTGTTAACTGAGTTTTTTTCGGCCTTTCTTGCCACACTCGTTAAGTGAATCACTGCAGTTGATAAGTTAGTAAGCTGGTTGTTAAGTGAATCTGGCTTCCCCATTATCTTTGGTTGTCAGAAGGTCACATGACCTTGGGACACAGCAATGGTCATAAGTGTGAACCATTTGACAAGCATCTGCATTTTGTTGACGTGACGGTGGGGAGGCTACAAAGGTTGAAACTCTGAAAAATGGCCGTAGGTCGCTTTTTTCACTGCCGTAACTTTGAAAGTTCACAAAACGAAGAGTTGGGGATTACTGGGAGAGAGATGGTAACAAGGGCAGCCAATGAACAGGGATGGCAACAGATCAGCCAATGAAGGCTGTTTAGGAACAGAAACTGAAGGGAGGAGTCTGGGCGTGGCTTAGGCAACTGAGTCTGTGCAGAAGCTAAACCGGAAGCAGTCTCTCTACCAGGTTGGAAGAATCTGCTGTTGGTATTGTACATTTGCTCATCTGTTGTTATGTATATAAAGAAGTGAATGAGTCCAGCTGAATCAGTTATCTGTGAGTGCTTTCTGGATCTGATTTTGCAAGAAACTCTGACATTACCTGTGGATTGAATGGGAGCAAACCGCTCTCTCTTGTAGCGCTGATGACGTTACTCAGTTGGGTAGTGAAATGTCTGCAAGAAAAGAGCCGAGCCCCAAGGACCCTCAGTGCAACTATTCTCCTCTGCTGGAGCTTAACGTTCTCCGCAGCCATTCAGACCAGCCCACGGGCAGGCTGCCCAGTTGGGGTGGGAGGAAGGGGTGGAAACTCAGTTGTTGCAGGAAACCTGGTTTCTTTGCTTAGGACCTCTTAGTCCTTGGGATAGTAGGATCGGAATCACATTGACGTTTGTGTTGAGTTTGTGTCTTTCCTCACTTCTTTACTGACCTCTACACTGGTTCAGTGCGCAGGGTCTCTTGCGATCAAAGCAACGAACAACGGTTGCATAACAAACAAGCCAGGATTCATACCACATCCTATACTCAGGTTGGCAAAACCCACGCCCCCCTCTGCGATCTCTTCTTTCTCCTCCATTTTCACGGAGTCTTTGCACCACCCGAGGTTTAGGTAGATGCTGGGGCTCAGCAACCCTGACAGCGGCCTTTTGGGGTGCCGTTATGCTTTAAGGGAGATTCGGGTTAATATCCGTGTTCCAGGAAAAAAACCCAACTCCAAGTAAAGGCTCTGAAGTTCTCTTTACTAGAATAGGTAAACTGGCACATATGGGAAAACCCGAATCTGAGAGGTCCAGGTTTTCCCTCAGTAAGTCAAAACCCCCAAAACCATCCTCTCAGTCGATCATATGCTCCAATCAACGTCCATCTCATCTCGAGACCTCACTCCGACCACTCCTCCTCCAGATGCAGAATCGCCCTGATCTTGACTGACAGACAACCCCTCTCCTTAATCCCCCCTCCCCACTTTCCCACCCATGAGAAGAAGGTGGCAGCATGGAAGCTTCCGGCCTAATATGGCTTCCAAAGCTGACACCCGAGTCCTGTATTCACCTCGCAAGATGCTGGAAAGGGCCGGCTTGTTTCACACACCCCCATGGCCAACCCAACCCTCACCCAGCCTCCCTCCGTCTTGTGGGGAGGGAGCCGGGTAGCTGTGTGAGACCTCCCTCCTTGTGTCGCAGGTGCCGGAGTTACCTGGTAGGACGCGCAGAGAGGGTCTCTCCAAGGCTGCAAGACAGACACGGGGCCTTCTTGGAGAAAAACGCTTCTGTAAGGCTGGTGGTGGACAATTCCAAAGGTGAGGGGCCCTTTCAGGAGGAGCCTCAGGAGTTCTGGGGGATTCTGGGCCCCTCTTCTGCCCCCCTTTTCTACTGGGGGATCTCGGGGGGGCAAGAGCGAATCCAGCTCCAGCCAACCTCTGGCTGGGTAAAGGAGGGGCTGCCTCCTCCACCCCCACCAGTCACCCCCAAACCGTGGCCCTCGGGGGCGGGTCAGTGGGCATCTGGCAGGCACCGAGACACTGCTGCCCAACAGGGTGGCTTCTGATGGGCATCGCCCACTGGCGGCTGTTTCTCATCCCGGCCTCCTCGTTTTTTCCTTTCCTCCTCCGTATCTCAGCCTCTCTGCAGAAGACTCTGACCAGGGGGAACCTGGATCGACTTCTGGCCACGGGTAATACCCTGGGGCGGGGGGGGGGAACGAGGCAATGTGGGAGGGGCTTGCAAAGACCACCTGCCCTCATCAGGCCTCACAGCAACGTTTTCCCCAAATCGCCAGGAGTGACTCCTGCCAGGAGTGGCTTCCTCCATGGGGTGGAAGCCCCGAGGGATGCCGAGAGTTGGGGGCCCAAAGGCAGCCTCTGGGGGAGGCGGGAGTCCCTCATCAGCCACCCAGAGCCGGCCCTTCCCTGCCGTGCCTTGGCCGTTCCAGGAAAAAGCCACGGTTGAGGGCACTCGGCTGGGCAGGCCTTCCCGGGCATAGAAGAGCCTGGCGAGGGGCTCAGCTTTGAGCTGTGCCTTGGGAGAAGTGGGGGAGGAGGCTTCCTCAGACACCGCAGCCTGATCTTAACCTCTGTCCCCTTCCTCCCCAGCTCCTGCTCCAGAGAAGCCAACATCTCGAGGTAACTGAGGAAATGGGGCCTTTCCGTGGAGGGGGTGGGGCCCAGCAGAAGCCCCCTCTCTCCCCTTGATGTTGGGCGTCCCGTGCCTGGCAAGGGCCCTGCCTGAGCCAGCCCTCCAGGCGGCTGAAGGCTCGGCAGGCGCTGCCTGTAAACGGGGGGGGGGGGGCTCCAAAGCAGCCACCCAAACGTGGCGGGTGGGCCTGGGGCAACTGCAGGGGGCTCTCCGGGGGGAGGTTTGGGCAGCTGACAAGCCGCCCCCGGAAGGTCCCTGGTGCAGACCGGCCCCCACTGAGCCCAGCGTTTCCATTGCTAAGGGAGGCCCTTGTTAAGTTAATGTTGCCCCGTTTTACAACCTTTCTTGGGGCGGTTGTTGAGTCACTGCAGTTGTTAGCAACACCGTTCTCAAGTGAACCTGGCTTCCACGCTGACTTTGCAAAAGGGGAGGCAGAGGCTGCCGAAGGGGCTCCCGTCACCCCCCGGACTCTGCAGCCGTCATAAATCCATGCCAGTTGCCACCGGTCCAAATTTTGACCAGGGGGATGCTTCAATGGTCGTAAGTGTGAAAAACGGTCATAAGTCACTTTTTCAGTGCCATTGTAACTTCAAACTGTCACTAAACGAACGGTTGTAAGCCAAGGACTGCCTGTGCTACCTCCAGGTGCCCTGGGCAATTAAAGTAAACGCCATGCCTAGCCTTGGTCAGGCCCATCTTGTCCTGCCAGGGACCCACGACCCCCCCACCCTTCAGAGGCAGCCCCACTGACCTCAGGCTGCAGAGACCCACCGTCTGTAGGAATTGGCCCGACCTTTTTTGGGGGGTGCTTGCCAGGCAGGGCTCCAGAGATGACCCAACGGCCCGGTTTCCTCCCTTCGCCCGCTAAGCAGGTGCAGCAGCCTCGCTGGCCTTCCCTGAGGGGGGGGGTTGAAGCATCCTCGGGGAACTGGGAACCAGCCCCGCCCTGCTTTGCCCTCCCCTGTCCCCAGCCTGCCTTCTGTTCTGCCCCAGCTACGGACCCCAGAGAACGCAGCACACACAAAGTCCGTACAAACCTTAGTTTACTAATTAAGGACTACTAACGAGCTTTCTTAATAGTTGCTCGAACACAAACAGAGTTTCTGTTCTCTGTCCTGCAGTTTATATCAAGCCGAACAAGTCAACCGCCCACCTCCGGCTCCTGTGCCAATGGTCGAGTGTGAGTTGGGACAAGAGTTACAACGATTTCCCGGAGACGCCAGAGAGGTTCGACCGGGAATTGTGCGTCCTGGGTTCTGAAGGGTTCACCACAGGATGGAAGTGGTGGGAAGTGACCGTGAAGGAGCCAGACAGTGTCCTTGTGTTGGGCAGACCATACTGGGCCATCGGGGTGGCCAAAGAGTCCGTCCGCAGGAAGGGGAGCTTCCAGCTGAGCCCCCAGGAGGGAATCTGGGCCGTGGGGAAGAGTGCTGGGGGGGAGATGGTTGCTTTCTCCAAGAGTCCGCAGAAGCTGAGCTTGCGATGTCCGCCGCGGAGGCTGCGGGTGAGGCTGGGCTACGAGGCAGAAACGGTGGAGTTCCTGGATGCGGAGACGGAGACTTTCCTCCACAGCTTCCAGACGGGGCCCTTCCTTGGCGAGACGCTCCGGCCTTTTTTCTATCTGGGCCAGCAGGGGCTCTGCCTTTCAATGTGAGGGATTATCCTATGAAAAGTATTTGGGACTGATAGTCCTCAACTTACAACCGTTGGCAGCCATCCCCAGGGTCACCTGGTCAAAATTCGAGGACGCTTGGCAACTGACTCGCATTTATGACAGTTGCAGCGTCCTGTAATCACGCGATCCCCTTTCGTGACCCCCTCTGACCAGCAGAGTCCATGGAGAAGCCAGATTCACTCAACGGCCGTGGGACTCATTCAAGAACTACAGTGATTTGCTTAGCATATGTGGCAAGAAAAGTCGTAAAATGGGGCAAAACAAATTTCTCACTTGGCAACGTCAATGTTGGGCTCAACTGTGGTTGTAAGTTGAGGACTACCTGCAGCCCTCCAGTGTGGAGTCCACCTTAGCCACCTCCCCGATTCCTGTTCATGCGGGGGGGGAGGAATGGACATAACTTGAAGCAGAATAGATGGGGCTGTAGAGGAGGCTGCTGGGCCTCCTGGCACCTTCAAGACCGCATCTGGCAAGAGGGCCGGATGTTGTCCATTGTCCTCTGGGACATCCTTCCAACCCTCCCCTCTAGAGTCTGCTAGGGTTTCTTGGTGGTCTCCCCTCCACCCACCATGTCTGACCTTCTTATAATTTTGCCATGCTCAGTCCAGGCTGGTTGGGGGATGCCAAGAGCTTCTGGGCTGCCCGTGGCTGGGGGGTCCGGCTGACCGAGAGGTTGTGGGGCTGAGATGCAGCAATGCCTCCTGGCCCCTCTGAGCCCCCTTTTCAAGTGTCCCCTTGTGTGGGCGAATCCCTGGATGCCGCCTCCTGCTAGATGCTGCAACCTTGCTCAACCATGGCACCCGGGAGATGTGAGGACTTCAACTCCCAGAATTCCTCAGCCAGCATAGCTACCTGGAGACTTTTGGTGCTGGAAGTCCCTGCATCCTCCAGGTGCTGCCAAGGTTGGGAATCCCGGCCTTCCTCTGTGGCTGGCAGTTTAGATGAGAGATAGACGGTTAAAGGACCTTTATAATCAATAACTTCATTACTTGTATCCTTACGATTTATATTGACTGTTTCCTAATGTGATTTGATTCCTTATTTGTTCCCTGTGACTATCATTAAGTGTTGAACCTTATGATTCTTGACAAATGTATCTTTTCTTTTACATACACTGAGAGCATATGCACCAAATTCCTTGTGTGTCCAATCACACTTGGCCAATAAAGAATTCTGTTCAATTCTAATTCTAATTCTAATCTATTCTGATATCTTAATATCTACGTGTTATTCTACAGAACATTTAAAACACCACAAAGACACCCACAACCCCCGTCCTAAGCACACATGGCAGCAACAACACAATCAAATCGGCCACTCGACCGGCTCCATCTCCGTGTGTGGAGCCGGGATCGAAGGCGGGCTCAGCAGCTGTTTTCAAACTTTTGTCATTTTGAAGGTCTTTCATAGCTTTAGAAGTAGCTAATGAGCAATTTCTAAATGTGACTAGAAAGTGAGGTGCTTGTGACTTGGTGTCCTTTAAAAGGCTCTGAGGTGGACGGCTGATGGGGTCGTCTCCTGGGGCTCCAACCAGCGTCCCACAGTCTCCTTGCAGGAACAGCCGCCCGGAGCAGATGCGGGAGCTCTCCCATCCTCTCCTAATCCAGAGTTTTCCCGCAACCATCTCCGCTCTCTGCCATAACCTTCCCCGGAAGTCCAGAGAGGCTGAGTTCATGCTAGCCACAAACGCTTGGGCCCTGCCTGAACGCTTTATACTGCAAGGTGCCACCAAGGCGGATACAATTGTGAACTCGGCAATGGAGCCGAGCAACTCGGGGGCAGGTGTGGCTGTGCCCTCGGGGAGGCTGGCCTCAGGCAAACAAGCTCACCTGCTCCCACGTGCCCAACTCCAGCGTTTCAGCCCTGGCTATTTGCCAGCAGAGCCTCCGAAAGGCGCTTGGGCTTTCCGGAGAGCAAGAGCTGCCACGACCTTCCTCCTCTGGCATTGCAAGGATGGGCACAGCTCTCCGGGCGGATGTGTTAATGAACTCCCACACCCACACAGCCCACCTGGGCCTCCCTCCCATGCGCCCATTGGGACCTAGCCAGGAAGACCACCAGCATGCAGGGACTTACGGGTGGGGGGTGATGCTGAGGGCCAGAAGGCAGGATCCACCTCCACCCCCCCTTCCCCAGACAAGCCCCCACCCCCCCTTCCCAGACTCTGCCTTTTACCACTGTGAGACCAGGACAAAAGAATCACAACCTTGAAAATGAGTTCGTCTGTTCAAAATCCACCTTCGGAGGGAGCTGTTTGGGAGATGCTGGGGGGTGGGGGCATTAAGAAGGAAACCCCCCCCCCTTCTTAGAGACAAGGAGGATCCAGGAGGAGCACCTGGGCAGAACCTGGAGGGAAGGCCCACCAGGTGGGGAGAGGAGGAGATGCAGCCCTGTAGCCAGTGGGGGATTTTGGAAAATGCACCAGCCTGGTGCAGGAGTGGGGCGGTGGGGGGACAGGCAGTCCTGGGTCTCAGCCTCCCCACAGACACACAATGCCAGAGGGGGTCCTGGCTGGACAAGCTGGTTCTGGAAGCCTCTCCCTGCAAAATGGCGCTGATGTCCCACATCCTGGGAAGCCAAAGGGCTTCGGATCTGGGCTTCCATTCGGTCTTCCCTAGAAGGCCGGCAAGAAGGGGAGGGCCAGGGGTGGGGGGAGGCCAGGACCAACCTCGCCCTTGGCTGAAGGAGGTTGGGCCAGGGGTGGGGAGCTGTCTTGGAGTGGGGGGGGGAGCTCTTCCCTTCGGTCCAAGGTCGGCTCCTTGTCTGGAGCATCCAGGGTTGTGCTGAGATCGAGTCTTGGCTTGGGTCAGCCTGATGAGAGCCTCTGCTGTCAACTCCCCAGAGAGATTCCCACATCTGCCTGGGGGGGAGGGAGGGAGGGAGGGAGGGGGGGCTGGAATCGGAGGCTCCAAAGTTGTTTGCGTTTTCCAGAGGGGATGTTGGCGCAGCCTCTTTTTTCATGTTTCCCTCTTCTTAGCCAAGGCCGTTTCGTCGGTATTTTATTGATCAAATGTATTTGCCATCCACAGCCATACTGGACCTAATTCTTACAAACAGAGGAGAAGTGATAGAGGGAGTTGAAACTGCAGGAGCCTTGGGTGAGAGTGACCATGTTCATACTAGAATTTAACATAATGCAAACACAAGCAATAGAACATAATTATACCAGAGTCTTAGGTTTTAAAAGAGCTGATTTTAATAAACTCAGAGAGAACTTGAGAAAGATTCCTTGAATTAAAATCCTAAAGGGGAAAACAACTCAAGAATCTTGGGAAATTCTAAAAAATATGAGCATAAAAGCCCAGACCAGCACAATACCGCTGAGAAAGAAAAACAAGAAATCCAAGAAGAAACCAGCATGGCTGCACAAAGATCTCTCTGACAAATTGAAAGACAAAAAGGACAGGTACAAAAAGTGGAAAGAGGGACACACAACTTAAGGCAGAATATCAGCAGATAGCCAGAATCTGCAAAGACAAAGTCAGGAAAGCAAAGGCTCAGAATGAACAAAGACTTGCAACTAAAGTCAAAGGTGATAAGAAAAGCACCCTGAGGAGACCCTCTCTGTGGGACCGAACTGGCCGGTGGGAGTTAGGGGTGGGGGGCACTGTGTTACGGTGGTTCTCCTCCTTTCTCTCTGACCGGTCGCAGTCTGTGTTGACAGGGGGGCAGAGGTCGACCCCGAGGCCCTTCATATGTGGGGTGCCACAAGGGTCGGTCCTCTCGCCCCTTCTGTTCAACATTTATGTAAAGCCGCTGGGCGAGATCATCCGTGGTTTCAGGGTGAAGTACCACCAGTATGTGACGATACTCAGCTGTACATCTCCACCCCGGATCACCCCAACGATGCCCTTGAAGTGATGTCCCAGTGCCTGGAGGCCATGCGGATCTGGATGGGGAGAAACAGGCTCCGACTCAACCCATCCAAGACCAAGTGGCTGTGGTTTCCGACGTCCCGATATAGTCAGCTGGTGCCATCGCTGACTATTTTAAATGGGATTTTAAATTTGGGGTTTTATAAATTGGGCCTATTATTTAATAATTTTAATTATTTTTAATTTTGTCTGTCTTTGTGTTTTTAATTAGGCTGTACACCGCCCTGAGTCCTTCGGGAGAAGGGCGGTATAGAAATAAAATTAATAAATAAATAATAAATAAATATTGGGGGCGAATCATTGGCCCCCACGGAAAGGACTCGCAACTTGGGCGTCCTCCTGGATTCACGGCTGTCTTTAGAAGAGCATTTGACAGCCGTGACCGGGAGGATTTTCCATCAGGTTCGCCTGATTCGCCAGTTGCGTCCCTTTCTGGATCGGGACTCCTTAAACACGGTCACTCATGCCCTCGTCACCTCCCGCCTGGACTATTGTAACGCTCTCTACATGGGGCTCCCCTTGAGGAGCACCCGGAGGCTCCAACTGGCGCAGAGTGCGGCCGCGCGGGTGGTAATGGGAGCGACATGGCGCTCCCATGTAACACCTCTCCTGCGCGAGCTGCACTGGCTCCCGGTGGTCTTCCGGGTGCGCTTCAAGGTTTTGGTTACCACCTTTAAAGCGCTCCATGGCTTAGGACCTGGTTATTTACGGGACTGCCTACTACCACCAATAGCCTCCCACCGGCCAGTACGCTCCCATAGAGAGGGACTCCTCCAGGTGCCGTCAGCCAAACAGTGTCGACTGGCGGCCCCTAGGGGGAGGGCCTTCTCTGTGGGGGCACCTACCATCTGGAATGAGCTCCCCCCCGGAGATACGGAGGATCCCGGATCTGCGCTCCTTCCGCCGTGCTGTGAAGACCTTTTTATTCCATCAAGCGGGCTTGGCCTGATCTCTTCCCTTTTTAAATACGTAAATTTTAATCTGTTTTTAAATTATTGGGGTATTTTAATTTGTCTGGGCCAAATAATTTAATTTGATTTTATTGGGTTTTTAAATTTTGTGTATTTATGTATTTTATTGTTGGCTGTTCACCGCCCTGAGTCCTTCGGGAGTAGGGCGGTATACAAATAAACTAAACTAAACTAAACTAAACTAAACTAAACTAAACTAAACTAAACTAAACTAAACTAAACTAAACTAAACTAAACTAAACTAAATAACAAGAAAAAAATCAAGGAAACAGTCGGTCCACTAAAGAGAGAAGATGGCAAGGAAGTAACAGGCAACAGAGAGAAAGCAGAGCTGCTCAACTCATTCTTTGCATCGGCCTTCACACACAAAGAAACTATAGCCCAACCTACCAGAAACATAATTGTAAAAAACAGACTGGAAATAAAAGTTAAAATCAGCAAAAAATAAAAATAAAAGGACACCTGTCTGATCGTGATGAGTACAAATCACCGGGACCTGACAGATTACATCCCAGAGTTTTAAAGGAGCTGTCAGATGTCATCTCAGAACCACTGTACCACATCTTTCAAAAATCTTGGCGCACCGGGGAACTTCCAGAGGATTGGAAAAGAGCTGATGTGGTTTCCATCTTCAAAAAAGGGGAAAAAAAACAGACCCAGGAAACCACAGACCTAACATCAATACCCGGGAAGATACTGGAAAAGATAATAAAAAAAGAGATCTGCCAACATCTAGAAACGAGTAAAGTAATAACTAGAAGTCAGCATGGGTTTGTTAAAAGGAGATCATGCCAAACCAATCTTATTTCATTCTTCAACATAGTGACTAAATTAGTAGACCAGCGAAATACAATAGACATAATATACTTGGACTTCAGCAAGGCATTCGACAAAGTAGACCACAACCTACTTCTTGGTAAGTTAGAAAAAAGTGGGATAGATAGCATCACCACCAGCTGGATTCGTAACTGGCTGACAAACCGTACTCAATGAGTAGTCCTTAATGGGTCTAAGTCTACATGGAGGGAAGTAAGCAGTGGGGTACCACAAGGTTCTGTCTTAGGCCCAGGACTCTTCAATATCTTCATAAACGACTTAGATGAGGGAATAGAAGGGGAACTCACCACATTTGCGGATGATACTAAGCTGGCAGGAATAGCTAACACTCGAGAAGATAGGCTTAAGATCCAGATGGATCTTGACAGATGAACACTGGGCCCTATCTAACAAAATAAAATCCAAGGTAGAGAAAAGTAAAGTCTTACACTTAGGCAAGGAAAACCAAAAATACACATATAAACTGGGTGAAACCAGGCTTAATAGGAATAACCTATTTGGTTG